ACACACCCGCAGGAGGCGCTGTAGACCTGTGTGCACCTTGATCTAAACCAGTGCTTCTCAAATAGGGGGGCGCGTTTGACCTCGGGGAACATGCTTTTTTATTTTTTTATTTAGATTTTTTTTACTGTCTTAAAGGGTTCGTTCACACCAAAGCGTCAAAAAACGCCTTGTCGCCTTTCTATTTGGAGCCTTTGCATTTGAGTTCAGACGCCCCCGACGCGCGTCTTTGACGCCGTGGACGAACGGGACAAAAATACTTGACGCGCGTCCGTTGCCCTGGAAACAAGAGCCCGGTCCCGGTCTTTTCCCGAAACAATGTCAGACCAGACTGAGAGAGTGTTTTTATGACATAAAACATCAGCGGAGGAGATCGGGTCGACGACTGGGGCGTATATATATTTATACTCCACTAATGACACTGGATCAGTCCCGGTCTAGTCCTGGTCTAATACCGGTCTGGTCCTGGTCTAATCACGGTCTAGTCCCGGTCTAGTCCTGGTCTAATCACGGTCTAGTCCCGGTCTAGTCCCAGTCTAGTCCCGTCGTCTAATCACGGTCTAGTCCTGGTCTGGTCCCGGTCTAATCACGGTCTAGTCTGTCCTTTAGTCTTTCTAGTCTCGTCTAGTCTCTAGTCTCGGTCTAGTCCTGGTCTAGTCCTGGTCCGGTCCTGGTGTAGTCCTCGCGATCGGCTCGGTGATTGTGGCGTATATATTTATTCTCCGTTCATGTTTGTGGTTCTGGTTCTGGTTCTCGGGTTTTTCTTCCTGATAATAACGTCGCTGCGTCTCTGGATACTCGTCCCTGATTGGTTGACGCGGCGCGTCTGACGCGAAAAGTTCAGCATTTTCAACTTCTTGACGCTGACGCCTTGGACGCGCGTCTTGGCCGCTGACGCCAAAACGCTGAAGACGCGCCGCGCTGACGCCAGAAACGCGCCGCAAAAACGCAGGACGCTCTAGTCGCGCGTCCACATAGACTTTACATAGAAAGTGGACACTTTGACGCTTTGGTCTGAACGGGCCTTTAGAATAAAGTGCAATTGCACTTCCACTACATTAGGGGGCAGAGCGCTCTCATTGGCAGAGTGTGCGCAGGGAGCATTCGCTCGGTGGTGTAGGAGTTTTGTTTGCACTGAGCATGCGCGCTTTGCACACAGCACAGAGTTTGAGTATGAAGTGTAGACACGAAGTGTAGCAGACCCTCAAGTGACACCATGAAAACATATTTAACAGGGATGAGAAGACAGACGGAGAGAGACGGAGATAAATACATTACACCCCAATCACTCTGATAAGCCGCTTGAGATTTTTCAGCGAAAACGTGCCGAATATTGCCGACAATCATCCCGCTTTGTGACTGCTACTTCAGTAAACCAGCGAGCGTTGTTGTCATATAAGGTGGCAGTGTTACGCAGAGGTGTACTTATAACAATTTTATAGACAAATGATACTATCTATAGTCACGCGGGGGGGGGGGGGGGGCGAGATGTTTTATTCGTCCTGGGGGGGGCATGACAGAAAATAATTGAGAAGCACTGATCTAAACACACGTCTGGTGATTATTGACCAAACTGTTTTCTATTAACTTCAGTCAATGTCAAATAAAACCAGAGATCAGATAAAGTGACACGATGTTCTGTTCTTCAGTGTAAATAGAAAAACGAAGGGTGACTTTTTAAACTTTACACAAACCTCATTTAAATGTGAAATGTGGTTACCATGGTGACCTGAGCCCTGGCGCGGTGACGGGTCGTTTCTGTGTTTCTGTGATGTTCTGGTGACAGCGACGGCTCTGAGCTTCAAAATATAAATACTGAAGATTTTGGGGGATTTTTACTTTTTTTTTCCATCATCTCACATTCAGAAGAAAAATGACTAACCCGGAGTTAAAAGTGTAAACTCTGATGACAGCAGTACCTCCCACACTCAAACCGCCGAGTCATGTTTGGAGAAAAGTGCTGAGTCGTGCTTTGATATGTTGAAGTTTCTGTGAAACATGTGAACGTCGTTTCCTCTGGTTTCTGTTCCTCTTTAAAACCCACAGACTCTGATCTGAGCACGTGCAGCCTCTGCCGTCGCCCCGGCAACGCTGCTGAGTCACGGTTACGGGTCGGGTCAGGGCGGGCGAGGGCGGGCGGGGTCGTTACATTACACATTACATATCATATCTGTGGAGCTGATATCAGACGTGATTTAGTGTTTACACGGTGACAGTTACAGATGATTATTGATCCTATTACCAAACATGATGACAGACGACATCATCACGAGCACCGACGCACCGCACACGCTTTAATGTACACTTTAATGTACACTTTAATGTACGCTTTAATGTACACTTTAATGTACGCTTTAATGTACGCTTTAATGTACGCTTTAATCGTACGCTTTAATGTACACTTTAACGTACGCTTTAACGTACGCTTTAATGTACGCTTTAATGTACACTTTAACAAACCAAACAAACATGGAGCTTTACTTACTTTACTTTTTTATTTTTT